GCCAATGCTTTATCAGATAGCGCCCTCATGGAGAAGTCATTCACAGTCAGCTAGAAGCTGGAATAGGAACCAGGATGAAGTCTTGAGGGGGTAGTGGGATGAGGGAGGGCTCAAGGAAAGAAACAGAGAACTAGAAGGGAAACAGAAAAGTATCTAATGCCAAGTTCATTAATTCAGATGTAGGTGGCTCAGTGGTACCCTCAGGCATAACATGAATAAGTTCACTTCACTTTCCTTTAGGAGCCTATGGATTCGTTGCCTTTTCCTCCAACTCTCTTTTGTCCTCTTTGCTGTCTGGACATTTCTGCTTCTATCTTCCTCTCTCATTTGTTTTTTTCCCCCCATAATCTCCATAATATGAAACACATATTTTTTTATTTAGTTTTTATTTCTCCATACTATAAAAAGAAGAGGAATGCTCTATATTTTCCGCTAATAAAAAGAAAGAAAAAGCATTGAAAATTGCATAAAGTTCCAAATGAGTTTTCCCCTATAAATTCTCAATCCCAAATAGGAAAGAAAGAAAGTCTCCTCTCTCCCAGGCTAGTGAAAGAGTGATATTATCAGGATAAAGAAGGGATTGGAGAAGGGCGAAGCAGACTGGAGGGTGGGTAGAAAAGCAGGTCTGCGAGGCAGCTGCTAGGAATGGAAGCAGGTTGCCGCCACGGATCTGCCACTCTGTCCTGCCCTCCTTGCTGACCAGGAACAGAGATGTCTTCCTTCAGGAGAACCAGGAAGGAAGAACAGAGGGAGCCAGCTTGCTTGGAACCTACTTTCCTCTGACTCTCCAGTAAATGGTAACCAAAAGTCTCAACAGAAAACACAGTGAGCCATTTATCATGCCCAGCAAAGCCTCTGGAGTGACTAGGAGGACCACAGAGCCAGGAAGGAAGAACAGAGGGAGCCAGCTCACTTGGAACCTACTTTCCTCTGACTCTCCAGTAAATTGGTAACCAAAAGTCTCAACAGAAAACACAGCGAGCCATTTATCGTGCCCAGCAAAGCCTCTGGAGTGACTAGGAGGACCAGCCCTGCCAAATCCACCTTAGAGCATACCTGGGGGATGAAGATGAAGCAGTTGATTGTGGTTGTGCAAACAAAGATTCCTCCGGAAGTGAGGCCAAAGACCAGGTTGGGCCAGGAGTGCAGGTATCTGGTGACCACAAAAAGAAGCCCAGCAGCCAACACCATGAAGTTGACCCCAACCATGATGGTTAAAGACTGATTCACAGGAGGAGAGCTGACATGGTCAGTTAGGCCAGCCAGGTAGGCACCGTACAGCAGCAGTAGACCCTGGAGGCAGAGGGGAGAACCGGAGGCTCAGAAAAGTGGAATCATAGGCTTGAGGTCAAAGAGTAGGAGGGTTGAGGCCAATTTCCTCATCTGTAAAGTAAGGATAATAATACCTACCTTAAAGGTTTGCTATGAGGATCTACTCGGACACAAAAGGAAGCTTAGGGTAGTCCCTTACTTTATTAAGTAGATGCTTAATAAATGCTATTTTCCTCTCCTGTACTGAGAATTAGTTTATTGGAAGTCAGCAAGTCAGCCATCAGACATGACTCTGCCGGGGCAAGGCACAAGCCAGGATGGTGGAGGTGGGTTGGAGCCCTACAGAAAGGGCTGAGGGCACTAGGAGGGTAGCAGGCACATTGAGCTACTAGTGGTGAGGGTTGCCGCATCCACTGTGTGGTTTTGCACTGCATGGAGCCGAAGGCCATGTGGAAGCTGAAAGAGCCCTGTGGTCTGTTTGTCAAGCCATGTGCCTCTCCAGGGCTAGAGCCCCGAGGAAAGGGCTCTTTTTTCTAATTTTCCCAAAGGCACCATCTGCTTGCCAAGCTCTGCACCTGCAAGATTGCATCTGCCTAGAAGGGGTGCCTTTTTCTAATTTATACAAAGGATCTCTATAGGCTAGCAGCGGCTCTGTGCCAGTGGGTGTTTATGGGAGATGAAGAGTGGAAACAGAGGAGAACAAAGGCAGGCTGGGACCTAGATGAGACTGTAGGGCAGGCACAGGCAGCAAAGGCTCCAGCTACACCCTTCACCCTCTTTGTGACATTCCCTGCCCCCATCACTGGGAACCGAGGGCCCTATTCTTTCCTCTTTCCCATGAATATAAACTTGTTCTCAGATTTCTCATTTGTACTAAGAAGAAAATGACTCACAGCACCTTAAAGTGCTACCTCTCTTGGAAGAAGCTGCATTTAAACAGAAATCAAAGCTTTCTGTTTAAATCAATAATACATAATAGACAGGTTTAACACATAATAATACATAATATATAGGAACGACATTTTCCCCTGACTATGTGCAAAGTGTCATGCTAGTTGTAGGGCAGAAAACAATGCTACAAAGAGAAATAAGTCATGGTCCTGCCTTTCAAAGAGCTCAGTCTGGTAGGGAGATTTAAGGCAAGTACACAAATGTCTTGTGTTTTATACCACAGGATGTGAAGATGCCATGGGAGATGAGGTGGGCTGGGAACTATGGGGATTCAGAGGGAGAACTAACGATGAAAGTAAGGTTAGTTACCAGCAGGGCATTTGCCAGTAACCCCGAAATCCCACAATGTGACCAACTCCACCTGCAGAGACAGCACTAAAGATAATTTTGAGGAGGACTGGCTGTGCCTAGGAGTCAGCACGGCAGAGATGCCTTATGGGTGCCCCCAGTGCCCAGTGTCCCAAATGGGGCCTGAGGGCCAAACGTGGCCACCCTGAGATCTTCAATGACTAGAAGACAGACAAGTCAGGAGCCCAGTGGGGCCTGACTTTTGGATAAATGACGCCATCAGGTGGCATTTGGCAGATTTGGATTACTAGTAATTTAATCAAAAGTGAATGAAATTCTCATAATTTTGAAATCTTCAAATCTGATTCTATTAAAATGTCTTAATTCCATTAAAATTCTTACCAGAAGGGAACTAGGTATGAATAAAGCCTCTATACATCCATGACTCGTGTTTGAATGAATCATATGTACTTGGATGTCATTCTTCACTGCTGAGAAGTGTGGGATAGAGGGCAGTTGACAGACTCAGGTGGGGGCTCCTGGAACCTAATGCCAAGATTTGGGCTCTCCTCAGGGACTGCTCGTGGACCAGGGAGCCCACGGGGGTCTGGCT